TTTTATTTTATTATTTTACTTTGATTTTGATTTTGTGATTTTTTTTTTTAATTCCGCCCTACCTACATCTGACCCGATGCCTATGTAACGAGATTTCAACGAGACCCACTATCGACGATTTTAGTCAACGAATCACAGACCATCCTTCTTTTGCGCACATAATGACGTCACCTGGGCAGAGTGGCAAACACACTCAAATAAAATGGCGGATTATACCGACATTAGCGACCGAGAATAACACGGCTTTTCGGTAAGTTTAGTTAATTAATGGTACATGCAACGAAAATCATTTTTATGTCAATACTGTGGCTCGAATGGTTCGAGTTTAGATCGTTATTTTGCGTAGTTATTCTGGAAGTGGCGATTTTGTTTCCACCGGTTCGACCGAACACCGGTGTCTTTTTCCAGTCGCTTGCCCTCAGGCTGGAGATGGGTGATGTTTTGTTGACGATCGGGCCAAAATCGTTCTACGGTATTGAAGCCGTAGCTGTAAATATTCATCGAAATGTGTCATTTTGTACATTATACAATAACTCTTTATTAAAGTAATTGAGCTGATTTGGACTGGAATAAAATATTTTTTATTTGGAACACATATTTTTTTGCTCCAATTTTCTGCGTTGATGCCGTGGGCCGGTGACAGTTATACAATTTAAAATCAGTTTGCATTGTTTACTATAGCTGTTTACAATGTTCTAATCATTAGATTTACTTATTTTTTGCTTCCATTCTAGATAATTATGCTCAGTGTTTGATGTAAAATTGAAGCGATGACTGAATGAACGAACCTTGGCTGGCAAAGATGTATCTGGAAGTGTACACATTTGTTGGAAGTGAAAAAAATATTCAATGTAATGACAAAAATTGTAAAATGCTGTTGAATTTCTTTTGTAAATAAAAATATACTAGCAATTTTCTATTAATGGTTTATTCAAGTGGGCAAAATATAATGTACAGAAAGATTGCCCGTAGAGTATCACTACCCTGGCTACACTGAAAAGTAAGCAACCGACAGCCTGTATAAAAGGGGGCTGTGATTGGCTGTTACTTACGCGAGATTTGAATGGGACTTACATAGGCGTCGGATCAGATGTAGGTAGGGCGGAATTAAAAAAACAAAAACAAAATAAAAGTAAAATAATAATAAAATAAAAAGGAATTAATAACAAAAGGAATAAAAAATAAAATTAAAATAAGTTTATAGCCAAAATAATTAAAGCCTGTACACTACATCAGATTTTAATCAGATTGATATAATCTCTGTATTATCAGAGAATAGAGTAAGGTAGACCAACTTACCAGACTATGGATCATATAACCTCTGTATTATCAGAGAATAGAGTAAGGTAGACCAACTTACCACCATACCAGACTATGGATCATATAACCTCTGTATTATCAGAGAATAGAGTAAGGTAGACCAACTTACCACCATACCAGCCCATGGATCATATAACCTCTGTATTATCAGAGAATAGAGTAAGGTAGACCAACTTACCACCATACCAGACTATGGATCATATAACCTCTGTATTATCAGAGAATAGAGTAAGATAGACCAACTTACCACCATACCTGCCCATGGATCATATAATCTCTGTATTATCAGGGAATAGAGTAAGGTAGACCAACTTACCACCATACCAGACTATGGATCATATAACATCTGTATTATCAGAGAATAGAGTAAGGTAGACCAA